CAGAGGGCTTCCTCACCAATTGAGCAGCCGCTCCGATGCTCGCAGCGTCTTTGACGTCCAGAGCTTACAAAACCTTCGAAAATGAATGGAAGTGGTCGGCGTAATAGACGGCTGCGTTCAACCAGGTACCCCATCTTGTCAGAACTGGCTGGGGTGGCCGCGGCACTCCGGGGGCGATCTCGCGGAATGTGCTCACCCGATCGGCAGACTTCAGGAAAATTTTCTTCCCGTTGGAGACCAACTTGTCTAAATCCGGGAAGATGTATCCGATTCGTCACCGTTCCCATCTATTCTCGGTTGACCATGGCTGTACGTCGCTCTCAGCGTCGAGACCCGCGAGAATCGATGGGGAAAATATGGGATATGCAGAATTATGCCCCAAAGCGCAGAATATGCATCTTCAGGAGGAAAAGCCCAGAATATGCATTTTTATGCATTATATGCATTTTGCATGAAGTCACGGGCTCTATTGATGAGAAGGCTTGTTTCAAAAATCAAATTCCAGGACTCTATTTCAGAAACCGAGGATCGAATGACCGAACGGGACGGTGGGATGCGTGGCTTCGCCAATGAATGACGAGCGGAAAACCTTGTGTAAACAGAAGATATGATTCGGATTGTGACAAACCGACAACCGCAACCGAACCACGGTCGCTTCCATGTCGTGTCAGACCGGCTTGTTCTAATGTTTACCAAAGGGGTTGATCCCTGTTCGCTCGTGGGGCGAGCGAACGATGAATTTCCTTCTCAAGCATAGGGTCGATTGAGCGAATGGCTAGAAGGAAGCGATCGGTGGGTCCGGACCCAGGATGAGAATATTCATCGTTTTCTTTCAGTGCTCGATCGTGTCCTCGTCTACGCCGGGTATGGGTGTGTCGAGAGCTCGACAGAACTCATTCTGGAATGTTGCGGAAGCTGGTCGCCGGGCGGCCGTAAGTCTTCGGGAAAACATGCATTCGAGTCCGATCTTGTTCTAGGTGGCTCTTGGGCCCCGCGGTGGCGTGAAGAATAAACGCCAAGGTATGCCATCGTATCGGCAGTCAAAGCTGATCGGCTCCGCTAGTTCAGGGTCACACGGTGCCGAGGTGGTCGTCCGCGCGGTGCGCGCACGATTTTGGCAGCGTCGACTCAGACAAATCGCTTTTCCTTTTTTCGGAGAGCTCTTTTTCATCTTTTACTGTTGCCTCTCCGAGCGGTTTAGTCACTTTACTACCGCGAAATACCTTCGAATGCGACGTGCGCAGTCTGTGTGCGGATCTGGGACGTTCTTCGATGAACCTCCTGCGACGTCGATGTCATCCCCGTTCGAAAATCCCCGAAGCGAAAATTCGCACAATTATTTCGTCGCCTATCGATGGAAAATCTCCGAGTTCACCTCTACTCACCACATTGACTCCGAGATGTCGAGCGTTTTCGTTGTAGTATTTGGCGGACGCGAGTCTTGCCGCCTGGAGCGCGTGTGTGATGTGAAGAGCGGAGGCGTCGAACCGACCGTGGTTTTTGACACCGTACTTGAAATCCCCCATGTGGCCATTGCCTCCCCTCTTGAAGGTGTCGACTTCGATCGCTCCCGAGTGGCCGAGTCCTCGAATTTGTTCATTGACTAGGTGATGCGTTTTAGGCACCGAAAGGGCGGCCTTTATGCCGACGGCGGTTCCGTCCAAGGTTCCTGGACCCGTTTTGGGAGCGTGATTCTGACAGTAGACTTCTTGATCGTCTTGGTCTTGTAGGTTGTTGAAGTAGGTTTTGAGCGTGAGTTTCGTTCCGCACACTTTGCATTTGAAGCACCCTTGATGATAGAACGTGAAGTCTTTCAAAGGTCCGACTTTGTCCACGGGGTAAACAGTCGCTCTGCACCTGAGACACTTGAGGTCCGGGCCCGCCATCGAGCAATCGGAGCGATCCTGACTGCGAGGGATCGCTTCGATTCGATCGAAAGATGGGTCCGACCGCCGGGATATTTCCACTTTTCCGTATCCAAGAGTCAACTCCACTTCACTGAATGAGGAACAACAACGACAACAAAGCCAACAACGAGCCCCACGGAAACAGAGGCAGCCAACTGGCAGCCGAGCTTTCCAGAGAACTCCGCTGCTCGGGCGGCTGACCAGCTGCACGGACAGGTGGACGAGCCCGAGACACCAGTACTGCACTGCCGGCGATGCCGATCGTCCGAATAGGCGACCAACGGATAACGGCACCCTTCAACACGACATCCAGGGTTTGCACTTCGAACGGTTCTGTCAGACAGTCAGCTTGCCGTGGTCGCTGCCATCGTCGTCGCTGGAACGGGCTTCTGCTTCTCCTCACTGCTGGTGGAGTCCCGCTCACCCAGCGCCGCCACATTCGCCAGCCATGTTGGTCGTCGGGGCCCTCGCCTTCTTCAGCTATTTGTGCTGCTGCTGCTGCGATGTTGTCTGTGCCATCGGCTGCGGTCGCGCTTGTCGTTGTTGGCAAGTACGCCAGTGCGGCAACAAGCTACAGCAGACGCAGCGGTGGGAGAGGAAGAAGGAGCATCCATCCATTCATCCATCTAACCAACAGAGGGTCTAGCTAGGTCCCTTTCTTCTGCTCTTCTGCCAATACCTCGACCAGGCTGGTGACGGCACAGGCAACAGAAGATATTGCATACATGGAAGCAAGCCGTGCTTGGCGCGGCATTTCCCTCTCTCGCTAGCCGCGGCGTCGCTGTCAGTGCCCCGAGCTCTCGACAAAAGAAGAGGAGCTCCTACCATACCGACTTCGGAGGCTCCTTCTTCTGCCGCTGCTGCTGCTTTGTTCGGCGAGTTGCGGTTACTGGCGCATGTTCCTTTTCCACCCCCTCCCCCTCCCCTCTCTCTCTTGCCACTACTGACTGAGTGAGATTTCCGATTGTAGTAGTTCGACGTCGTCTCCGTTGTTGCTGTTGTTGTTGTTTTCGGCAGCGGTAGCTGTGCTGGCGACATGCGGGGGAGCCACTCGAGCGGCTGGTGCGAGTCGGTCAATGGTTTGCACCGGGGATCGGTAGCAGCGGGGTAACATGAAAATAAATCCCTATAGGAGCTGACGCATTCTGTTGTGCACAGTCACAATGTGGCTCAGTTTCTACGTTTGTCGGTCGGTCGGTCGTTCCGCCTCGAGCTTTACTTGATGAGAATCCGCGAGACGGAACTTGAGCCGACTTGGTCGACCGCGCATCATCATGGGGGCGGATGCAAAACGACCCCTTCTTGTTTGCTCCCGATCGGTATGGCACGCGGCGAACGAGCTCAGGGCTGAATTATTGATTCGACATATCTTCGATTCTTCCATTCGACGGAAATTAGGAAGGTGATCATTGCCCGAGTCAGCGGTGCTCTCCCACTATTGCTCCGATTCGATTGTTGACGTCGATAAGCTCATCATGTTTAGACAAGCGTAGATCGAGGGGGGAGCAGAAACCTCATTGAAGATTCGTTCGTCCGACCGCCACCCATCATCATAAACTGAAAATTCTGATAGTCTCCCGAGAGCATGCAAATCTGGATATCACCCTACCGCTGGGATCGTTCCTTCGATTCCCGCTCCCATTCCCGCCTTTATTTTTGGAATGTCGTTCGTTTGCAGCTCAACGGGGGTTGTCGCTCCAATAAGTAAAGCATCACTCTCGTGAAGTCATTTTTTCGCAGAGGTATGTTCTTCCTTGTGTCGTTTGTCGAAACTCCCGTTAGCAAGCGACTTTCCGAAGATTTAATTCGAAAAGTTGACAGCCGGCCACACCGATCCATCAAATCGCTCACAAATCTTGACGCAGCGCGTCTTGCCGGAGAATTCACCTGACTATAATGTGACACGTTTTTCTCAGAGAAGAAGGCTTGCGGCAGCTCGCCCCGTACCCTTCGAATTCGACATCGACTCGCTGCTTCCGAGGATCTTTCCCTTGAAGACGTAACATTCCGTGGTTGCTGATGCAGGTACTGGGACGCGAAAAATATACGCGGTTCCACTCTCGACCTACTATTGAATCGTTGATACCAATGTATGGCAGGATACTACGCGGTCTGGGAGTATTCTGAGAGCTTCGTTGAGCAATCCCCCTGATATCCGCCCCGGATCAGCCGTTGCGCCGCGCCGCCTTAAGTTCCATTTATTGGCAGACAATGTATGGAGCAGCGAAGCGGCGGTGTCGTTTTCTGTGAAATCTTCGGTCGTGAGTAAAACTACTCTTATCGCGAAGCTAGACAAAGCCAATGGTTGAGAATATTGATGACATGTTCGATCGTGAGCAGACCTTCAATGACGAATTCCCCGCTCGGACGGCCTTGCCTACGCCTTGAGAGCCAGCTATCGATGAAACTGTCGGGCATTCCAGGAGCCCGGTCATTCCATGAAGGCTCCTCTGAGAGCATTGCCCGATTTTGATCAAGCCAGGAGTCCTCCTCCCGTTTTGATTCGAAGCGGCTTGGAAACCACGAAACCCTCGATGGAAAATCGGTGAAAAAAGCTTTCATCCCGGAGGGAAGCAGAATTGAGGAGACATCGATATCCTGGAGTCTCTCCCGATCTAGATCCCTTTCATAGAATCTACATAATCATACCCCGCTGGATGTCTTCCGAGTGAGTCGACAGCTCAGTGGTTTTCTGCACCCAGTCAGCTCTCTGACGGGTTTTGAGCTACCTAGAAAATCGGGAAAGAATGAGCAGCGAGTTCAGCGAACGAAAAACACTTGATCATTTATTCGATTCCGAGCGTATCAGCAAAATTAATGGATATCGCCTAAAACTCTCAGCATTCGCAGCTGGCTCAGCAGAGCGAGCTTTCATCATTTGAATTCTCAATTCTTGTCATTCTATCGACGAGTATGGAAGTTGATCGAAAAACCAATCGGATTCGTGGTTCTTCAATCGGATTATTCATATAGGCAGTGATGATTATCCCAGACAAAAGTTCGTAAATAATGCGGATAGCATGTGGCGAACAGATTTGTCCGGCTCGGAGGCAGAGATGTGGTGAACATGGATGCGGTTGTGCTGATATATCGTTGCTTGTGTGTCCGAATTTTTCATCGAATTGGTGATCGATCCACCTGATTGAAAGATAGACAGACAGATCGATCGGCCAGTTGGAGATATGCTTGATTCTCGTTGACGTCGCTATGTACACAAGTAGGTGTTCGGGCGCGGAAGAGGATATTTGATTTGTGAACAGCCAATTCTATCATTGACTCGACCAAGCACTAGTCACTCGCCATCTTCGATCGCAAGTCATTGATCAAACGGATGAGCGTAACATGGAACGGCGCCGTCACACTTCGCAGTGGCTAGCTCCGTGAATCTTCCCACATCCCCTGTTGACTGGGGTATCAGTTTCAATTCCGGGAAGCGAACCCTCGCCCGGAAACAGTCCCGAGGTACTATACGAGTCTTGGGGGAAACTTTCGCCGTACTTCGTTATGCGCCGGTACTTGCCGCCTCGGGGAGGTCCATGACAGCCTCGAGAATCGTTCCACGACAATCATTCAGAAGATTGCGCTGCTTGGAATGCGACGCATTGCGACGCTAGAGCGTCAGCGCCCGAACCCAGAATCTTCCCCTTCGATAATCCCAATGAACACCGCGGTAATCGGGTCGGGCCTCTGGGTCCGGCTCCCCTTCCGGCCATTCGATAATTCACGGTAGGTGTTGAAGCGAACCCGTGCGATGTAGCGACACTCTCGATCCGGGTCGAGGAAGTGTCCCTGTGGGAGGCCGCGATAAGGTGCCTCCCTGGAGAGACGCCGAATCCCTCAATCGTTCCTCCATAGCCATCACGCTGTCTTCGTAGTCGCGCTCTGCGGCGGCTCGAGCATCCATCCAGGCGAAAATAGCTGCTATGAGTTGAATGATGACTCCGACGACCGCCAGGACGTACGACCAGCCGAAGTAGTTCCAATCCACCTTGAAAAATATTCGAATGTTTTAAGCCGAATTATATCTCCGCATCTTTCAGCTAATCGAGGGGAGGAAAAGTGAAGAATCGCTTCTGCATCCTCAGATACACGCATCCTTCTCAGATCTTTGATGGTCGAGTGTGTGGGGTCGTGAATCTCGAAAATTTTGAAGACGATAGCCGGCCTGAGAATCGGATGCTCCCGTCAGGCTAGGAATATTCCACGCGTATCTTTTTGCCTCGTATGGAATGCATCAAGACCTGGAGCCTTGAAATCCCTTCGAAATGAACGTGATGACCTTGCGTGAGTTATCTGAATCGTTTGAACTGCTCCTAGAAGTTCCGATCCGGCTGGGGCCGCGGCGAAGAGAAACTCACGCAGAGCTTGCATTCTGAGGAATTTTTCTCACAAGGCGCTTAGTCATGTTCTTGTCGGATAAGCCTAGTCATCGCGACACGTCCATTGCTTCCTCTACACTTGCGTGGAACGAAGGTCGACCATCCATCGAACAAAGGAAACTTCATATTACCTTGGACAATCACTTACGAATCGTCCCTGCTCGACGCATAACCAGATCTCGATTCGCCGAAATATATTCAGACCGTGGCGGCAATCACCGCCCACGAAACATGGATTCTACCACAACGTTCTCACGTGTCTCATGGGAGATTCATGAAGACTCACCTGAGGAATGTAGTCGTTGGTGATGTCACCAAGAGCTCCGAATACGATGATAGCCACTAGATTGCAAACAGTGGATGCTAATATGAGCCCTACGGTAGCTCGTAGCATTTGGACTTCTTTCTCTGGAGGCATGCAGATGTTTGCGCCGAGCAGAACGCCACAAGAAGCTACCAAGAGCCCGAAACCTATCGTGAAGAAAATCTGAACCGCAACGAAATACGGAGCCTCGAGGAGCGGTCTGAGGTATCTGTATTCACGGTCGAAGATCCAGCGGCATCCTCGGTTGTCGTTGTCGAAACGCAAGAGCCGGAGTACCCTGAATGTGAGAGGAATAGTCGGAATGGAGGCCGAATTGGATTCCACAAGATCCTCGAGAGCGTCAGCCTTTCAACTTACGCGAACTCAGCGATATGATAGGCTCTTCGAAAGAGAATGTTCTATCTTCTATGTACATGCATATAAATATGGGATCAGGCGTCTTCTGGATTATTTATGGAAGGATACGATAAACTTCACCGACGGGGTGTCATACCTGTAGTGATCGTCGAGGGGACTGTCGAAGCACACTTCCCAGAGACCCCTCCTTCGGAATTTTTGGGTGCCAGGGTGGATACCATCGTTCACGAGCCAATAAGGTGTACAGAATGCGACAGTGATGAACACCAGAGAGAGCAATAACGTGGCGGCAGATAGGAGGTTCGAGCGGGGCGAGTATGCCCGTCTCATTGGAGTGAGAACCATTCTGATATCGGCACGGCGATCCGCAGAGGAGAGGTTTATCCCGAGCAATGGTTCCGGCACATCTCAGGATCGAAAACAATAAGTGGCTAGAGGAACTTCCGAGACGTTCAGCGGAAATTTCCCACGAGAGTTGCTCTCAAGCTCGGTCACTGAACGATGTATCAACGCAAGGGGTCTCGAACCGAATATCCCGGGGAGATGATTGGGCTCTGGGTTTCGGAGGTCGCGAGAACGTATATTGCGTGTTAACAATGCAGAAGCTCTTCCGGAGAGCGCAACGTATTCCGCGATCTCGGGTCTGCCGGGGACAGATCGAAGAAAGAGAACACAAGTGAGGCGATGGATGGGGTCTCTCTCGTTCAGAGCTCTTGGTAGAAGTGATGTGAAGTTCATCTTTAGGGACAGGAAACGGTCGAGGGAGTTGGTGTGGAAAGAATACGAGGGGAGTCGTCATGGAGATCCTTGCCCGCAAACGCCGGAGAACAATACCTCGCGAACAGCCATGTCTTACATAATCATCATTTCTCTTAAAGTGTCTATGTGCGCTGCCATTTTTTACCTGAATTCTCTCAGAAGTTTCGGCGCGGGGGAGTCACGCGAACTTCAACTAAGGACAAAGCACTTGAAAACCCAGCTCTCCTTCGAATAACAAACGAATTTTGACCACTGCTTTTTCTGTCTATATCTCGAAGGAGCCTCGGCGTCTCATACGTGGGATTGTGCTCGGATCTCATTCTCGGAAGAGAGAAAAACCGTAAGGGCGCCATGGCGGCCCCAGCTCCGAATATCGGAAGCAACATTGTTTTCCACAGCTTTCTAGCTCGCATCCACGAAGGAATGTCAATTGAAATGACCGCGATGGTAATGATCACTTGAGGTGTGCCAACTGTCAGATTCCGAAGGCTCATTGTCACATTTTTATTAGAGCTGAGTGTGTATATTTTTATTACGCCAGAATTGCCTGGAAATGAATTTATCCAAATCATGGATCTCCTTCTCGAAGAACGTCCGCATCAGCTAGAGTCGCTGAAAAGTGATACCGGCGTGGTCCAGTGAGGCTCCATTCAGTTTCTCGGCGAGCTCTTCTGAGCCAACGCTCCAGGCCGTCACATCCTGTGATTGTTTTCAAGGGAGCTGCTCAGCGAGCATTCCGACGACGGCAACGTTTACTCATCGTCGAAGTGGAGATTTTGTAATATCATCTCGTCATTCGAATATCATTCCACTCGTCCCTCGGTGGTCCGTTCGTTCCCCGATTCTCGGAGGTGAGCGTTCGGAGACTAGAGGAAAAATATTGGCTGAAACAATGACGACATTCAACTTAGTTATTTCCCTTCCCTATTCAGCCGGCTCACCAAAAGTTTAAGGACTGCCCTCGGGACGCATCTCTTACGAATCGACTGATGATGACTCAGAAGACGTCATCAAGGCCGTTCAATAAGTAGTTTTTAACTTTCAATCTTCATTGTAAGCCGCATCCGCCCCTCCTCTGACAAAAGCCGACACAAAAACTCGTAGTCAGCTGTCCCCTGTTCTTTCATCGGCTGACTCAGATCCACAGAATGCTTCATCGTGTCGAATTATTCGGTCCAATCTGACAACTATTCACAGCTGGCCAAGTTCGCAATGGATTTCATCGGGGAAAACTCCATGATGGCCCTGATGAAGTACGTGAATCTGATGAATTCCTCCGCCGGAGCTGTCGAATTGGATCGGAATGAGCCGCGCGGACAAGCTCAGTCGGCGAAGTGACCTAGCATTGTTTTTGAGGCTTTGCGTGACGAATGTCTGCGCCCAAGTCCCGGGTTGTTGGCCCGTTCCTCGGTGGCAGTAGCTCGAAGAAACAAGCCCAGCGCAGCATGATCCGCTACTCCAGAGAGGGATCCTCGAGTTTCAAAATTCTGCCACCCGATGATTGAGGCTACGACTAACTCCTGCTTGCTTCAACATTCATGTTCTTGCTAGTTCAGCGTGAACGGCCTCCGAGCCGCAAGAACTCGGAGTATACGGTCTCGAGGAGCTTCTCATAGCTCCAGAATGCGGTTTGATGGCGTGCCTTTCGATATGGAAGCCCCCGTTGTGGACAGATGAGAAGAACAGGGGCGGATTCTCACTCGTGAAACATAAAAATTGTCACAAGGAGGCACTTCTCACCAGAAAACCGCCTCAGCTCACGGATGCGGTGTGAGTTTCTGTCTTGGGACTGTTGAGATTGATTCTGATCGGTTTTCAGCGATATTTCATCGAATATACTGGCGAATAATTCGGTGAGCATAGGATTTTGCGTCAATGAGCATTGCAAATGAAAGGAATCGCTGGGAGTTGCCATCTAGGAATCGCTCACTGCTTGCCATCTGATGTAGGAAGAGCCCATCAATCGTTGACATCCGAAGCGCATCACACGTATGTGTATGTGGACGTTCAGATCACGAGGGTCTAGAATATCAATGAGATCGATTGGCGAGGGACAGGAGCATTCGAAAACTCTCCTATCGAATATGCGAAAATGTTCGTCAACTCGCCGAATGCGACAGAGCTCTGAGAGGAACATTCCCAGGGACCAGGGACGAGCGAAATCTTGAAGGAAATCTTCACCTCGAGCCCTCGCTGCACGAATGTACCATTCGGATCTGACTGCAATGCAAGTGAGCCCGGATCAAACTTCATAGGCGTACTCGCTCTGAGGATCGAAGTGGCACACGGAGAGCACCATACTCAGAGAAGACTCGGTGTTTAACACGCGGCTGGGGCGGCGCCTGCCAAGGCTCAACGTCGGGAGACTCCTTGAGAGTACTGCAGCGAGATGCTCCATAGTCAAAGATGGCCCTCAATTGTGGGTGTCCCCGGAGAAGCCATCAGTCTATTCCCATAGTGTGTAGCACTCACTTTTCCCGCAGACCCTCAGCCAGGTCGGCTTTCAAGCCATAACTAGGGTTCACCAATGCATTTCAACGAATACGTCGGAAACCAGATACATCCAATTCGGGACCCTCCTGCGGCTGTGAGGTCATCGAGTCGGTAAACTATCAAAAACTCCTGGAACTACGACCTGACCAAAATCTTAAGTTCCGCATAGAAGTCATTCCGTTCTGCCCGAAGATCCGATCTGGACGCACCGCCCTAGCAAGACGTACAAATTGGGTACAGCCGGCTCTCGAAAGGTCAACCCAGTTTTCCCTGGTCCACTCTCACATACGCCATAATGATACACATCTGTGGTGGTACGGTAGAGTCCCCGAACCCCAGGATCCACAAACTTCAGAGGAGAGCCGTAAGAATCATCCTCAACAGAGCCCACAGCACTCGTTCTGCTTCGCTTTTTGCTGAGCTGAGCACCAAGCAGTCCGAGAACCTCTAGGCCTCCCACCTGATGTACCGTCTTAAACCGACCATTCCCACGGAGCCGGGCCCGAGCGGCGCTACCAGACACGCCACTAGACAGCAAGTCTGCTCGCCCGACGGATCCCAGGAAAAGCGGCGGAAGAAAGACCCCGATACCGAATTCCACAGTCCCGAACAACCAATTGTCAGGTCAGGTCCGTAACTTCAGTGACAATCAATTTTTCTGTAGGAGAGGATACACCGGATCGGCGTTGAAGAAATACCATGCAGCAGTCCCCTATAATAGTCTCAAATATTCGCTCTACTGATCGATTGGTCAGGATATTTACTAGACCATGGATACGTAGCCCCCGGCCACCTCACGTACCATCCTGCTCGAAGAATGTTTTGTAACCGCGCGACTGCACCTCGAGCTTTTAATTAGCGCCCAACCCAACGGGCACGTGTAGTCAAAACAGCTATAGCTCAGGCATATCTAGCCTCGATGTATAGCAGTGACTTCCGAAGTCACGAATTCCATACCTTCTTATGCACTTCGGGTTTGGTTCCTGAGAATTTTCTTGTATGTCGGTGCCGGATCCTGCTCATCGGGAACCCTTACCGCGGGGAGGCTGACAACCCGCTCGGGAGGTTGCGCCACACGCTCGCTCTCCATGCCTGGCAGTGGTCTAGCTTCGCGCCTTTCGCTGCTCCGCGGCTCGCTGATGACTGATGACGTTTCGAATTCGCTGGAGCTCCGAAGCAGTTGATCCTAGTCTGTGATTAAATCACGCTAATTTCGAGCGCCTCAGGATTCCCTCATTCCCTCAGGAGAACAGGAGCTTTCGGAAAAGAGGACGCCGGATTTCGACTGGAGCCCAGATCCGCCCCCTCCACTCCTTACGAATTGCCGCGCAGGCGACTTTGGTGATGGAATTTTGCCTACTACAGCATCAATTGATTATTTTTCCCGAGATCCGTCAGAAGCGAGCGAACCGCGCGACCGGGCAGCTCAACTATCTGACTGAGTAATTCCTCTGATTGAGTCGATGAGATTGCCGAACCGCGCGACCCAAAATAAATCGGGAGCTCGTTTAGTGAATGCTCAAACCCTGGTAGCGCCTCTCTAAAACTCCGCCTTTGACATCGCCTCTGCGAAGACATTTGGAAGAAGAACCGAGTGTTCGCGAAAAGTAAGCATAGCACCAACGGCAATGGCTGCGCTTCGTCGATCCTGTGAACTCGCACTTCTTGAGAGACGATGGACCGCAACGGGTAGACAACGAGGAAGCCGAGGGAATGCGTCTGCGCACAGAGCAGTGACTGCGGAACGTGCTGCTCGTCTCACCGTTACGAGGTTCCCAGTGACGTCTCGTCGTGCGCTGAGGACAAAGGATGGGGGAGTCCCCCTCGCAGACTTGCCCTAACCTGCGGGGAATGCAATGGAATGGAAACGAAACCTCGGCCAAATGGAATCCCAGAGGCTGGATGTCAACATCGAAGATACCTTGTCGTCATACGGAGCTCATAATAACAGACGGAAAGGTAACTTATTAGAGGGAGGATAACTGACTCGATTACGATACGAAAAAGTTGCATAGAGATGACAACGACCTCGCCTGTGCAGGTGCGGAGGAGACTTCCGGAACACGGCGGGCATGCTCCGTCATTGAATTTCCGAGGCTGTATGTCCGATGTACTTCAACTCTCCACCCGTCATGGGCTCAGAAGGTTCCCGAGAGATCACGACCAAGCTGACAAAGTTCGAATGCGGAAGAGTCGGGGCGCGAAAGTCCCATCCCCCTATGGGAAGAAATCGCAACACCTGTCTGTCACCGAACCAGTATTTCGCGCTTTCCTTCTCCGAACAAACTTCGATCTCTTTTCGATCGATGCCTCATCACCAGTGAGGTCAAGATATACCTACATATCAAGCTGCTATGACGCATGCTTTCCGCGAGATTCACCTTTCGTCACTTAGCTTTATTTTTCAGCGACTGTGAAGCTTTTTCACCTTTATGGTGCTATCACAGCTCTGCTAGGCGCGGAGCG